ACCTGTACAGTTAATCGGATACGGATACGTCACTTACATGGAGCGTGAAAATGGGCTGAAACTTACGTTAATTAAAAGAGGTTTTGATCTTTCATGGTAAACATATTGATACCACTTGTTCTGTGATTTTCAGAAGCGAAAAAAAACAACAACTCTACGACACAGGAGAAGTTCCTGATTTTAACATTTCTGAAGGGAGCTGCTGACATATAGAAAACACAGGTGATCTGAGAAAGCTTATTAAATAACTTTATATGCATATTTCACAACATATTTCGCCTATATCACCATGCATCTGTAATTTTCTTTAGCAAAATTATATATGTGTGTGTGTGTGTGTTTGCTTGTTAGTTATTTTAAACGGGCTTTGATGTCCAAACATAAGTAACACTGTAAGAGCATTACTAAATAAGTAAACCTAAAAATGTACATTCTGTTATTAAATCCTTTTTTGTATATTTTGTAAATTATTATTTTTCTTTTCTGAATTTCGCCTCTGCTATAGTTTATTTATAATAAACCTGGCAATGGCATTGTATAATAAATATTGTTGACTCTGTGACAGATTATGTTGCTAGATTCTTCCATGCTGATGGCCGTGCACTAGAGTTGGAGCGTATCTCCTGTCGAAGAACATATCTAGACATTATGAACCATATGACTAGTAAGTAATACCTCAAACATACACTACCTAAAGTTTAAGGGTCAGATTTGTCATGTGTTTGAAAGAAGTCTTTTATGCTCACCACTGCTGCATTTATTTGATTAAAATACAGTAATATTGTGAAATTACCATTTTTTTATAACTATTTTCTATTTCAGTATGTTTTAAAAAGTGATCAAAGCTGAATTTTCAGCATCATTATGCCTGTCTTCAGTGTCACATGATCCTTCAGAAATCATGCTTTGTGAAAACAAGAATAAATTACATTTTACAATATATTCACATAGAAAACAGTTATTTTTAATAATAATATTTCACAACATTACTGTTTTTATTTATGATCAAATAAATGCAGTTTTCTTGGTGAACATAAGAGACTTATTTCAAACTTAAATAACACAAGGGATTCAAATATTAATCCATTTATTCTAATAAAATCCAAGAAGCTCTTAAAAATATTAACATAAATTGTCATTTTTTCCTCTGGTGATTTGTATTGTATACCCAGAATGCAATGCACAGTGATGCAGATTCCCATTCTCTATCTCCAAGCTACACACTCTTACACAGTGTCTACACTGGATGCGACAAAGTGACTGTTAAAAATCATTTGAACTTTGTGTCAGTACATCATAAATAGAACGAGGCATCAGTTTACTGTCAGGGATTTGTTGTGTCGCGCCGCATCCAGTGTAAACAGCATCACTGATTATAATAGGTTCTATTGTATTTTGTTGCGCCGTCCGGTGTAGACACGGTGTTAGAACTTATATTAAATATCGTTACATATGATGTATGTATGATGCCATCCATAATTGATAGAACTTTTTTATTTCAGAGACTGAAAATCATCAATAAACCACAAGGTAATTATAACTTATTTCAAGAATAATAAGAATAATAATAAGAATAAATAAAAATGCATCTGTGACTTAATATTGCTCATTTTTCAGTGGGTTGAAAGTTCTCATTTAACACATTGCTTTCTTCTCACCTTTGTGCATTTTCAGATGTGCATATTTATGAATCAAAATGTTTAACTTTTTAACCGTAATATTTGTTGTCTTATTTCTCTTTTCAGAGTTTAGCTCCAACCCCAATTAAGCAGACCTGAGCAGCTGATCAAGGATCACCAGAAACTTTGCAGAACGTTGGTCCTCCATGCCCAGGACTGGACACCAGTGTTGTAAGTCATCAATCTAGCAGTCATCCTGCCTCTCTGAATTGTCATGTTCAGAATATATTGCAGGAGATCTTAACATTGTCTCTCAAGGTCCACTTACATGCAGCGTTTTGCTCCAACCTAGTGCAGTGCACCTGAACACACTAATCAAGGTTTTCAGTTTTACTAACTATCAAGTCACAAACAGGTGAGTGTGATCAGGTGTGGACCTAAACTCTGATTGTGAATCACACAGGTCCCTTGCTCAGTAGTCAGTGATTAAGGGCTGTCTCAATCACAAAATTTAGTTTGCTCTCTAAAAAA